CAAGATTATCGATTTATTGCCAAGATTATCTGTCAAAATTGCCACTAAAAACTTGTTTTTAACCTTGTTAACATGTATCCTGCATACAACCTGCCATCAGGAGTGAAGGACTTGTAGTGAAAACCAGCAACAGTTTGACAAAACTACAATCAGACAGCTCATATGAAGCAGTGAGAAGATTAGAGGAACTGATCAACTGACAGATACTTTTGGGGATTTTATAACAAAGATGTGAAGAACTAAAGTTTAACTACCAGATGAAGGTGGAACAAATTAAATGAAGAAGCTACTTGGTGTTTTGCTTATTGCTGAAACAAAAGGTTGAGTCTGACCCAATGATGTAAAACTAAGATTTAGATTCAGTTAATTTAGATGCAGCCTTACAGAGAGGAAACAAGTCTGTGTTTAGTTAAAAGAGATTRCAGAAACAGCTGGGTTTGCCATTAAACAAAATGAACAGTGATTTTGTCTAATTTATTTTAAAGATATTCTAAAGAGGAGCAGAAGAGAGAAAATAACCAATGAGTTAATATTTCTAATTCTATTCAAAGATGAGTATTACTRCTGATGCTAATGTTCCTGATTAAGTCTGAGCAGCAAAACACATTGATTTAGGAAAAAAACAGAGTCTCGCCTATCAGAATGTGTGCCACTATTTTTGGGGCGTGTCACTAAGTGACAGTTTTCAACATGTCAGGGAAGAAGTTTATGAAAGTTGCTTATTAAAAAGAAGTGATTTGTCAGATTATGTTTCAGGAGAAAATGACTGCTACTGAAGCAGTGCTGCAGCTCCAGCTCTTGAATATTTGCTCCAGGAACGGGGCTGAGTTTCTACATAAAGTATAAAGCACTAAAAAGCCACGTGATGATTGCAAAAACAAAAGAAGACCAGAAACTGTAATTTCCTCATTTCTATCTTTGTGGACATGCTCTTCAGGTGACAGATGAGGTCAAATATTTCAGACACTACCTCACTATTGATCTCTCTGATCATAGAGACTTGTATAGGCAGCGATGTAAAGTTCACCTGTAAGTTTCACATGTGCTCCAATAATGGTAAAATTTACTGTTTAAGGCCTTCTGCTCATCTTTACATACAGACCATCTTTGGCGTAACGATACAAAGAGGAGCACAAAGAATTTAATTGTGGCACAATGGGCCTCATGTAAGAACCGTTCGTACGCACAGATTTGTTCTTAAGTTGTGCGTACGAGTGATTTAGGAG